GTGTGCGCGTGTGCGCGTGTGTGCGTGCGCGTGCGCGCGTGCGCGTGCGCGTGCGCGCGTGTGCGTGCGCGTGCGCGTGCGCGTGTGCGTGTGCGTGTGAGTGTGTGCGCTACCTTAAACCCTAGACTTTAAACCCGAAGCCTCAAATCATGAGTGCACTTGAGGAACGTGCAGAGGCTGATGGGTATGTTTGCCCAGAAGGACCGGTTTAGGGTATAGGGTTTAGGGTGCTTGAACCAGAGGGCTTGAGGGGTAAATTGGTTGAGGGCTTCAGGACCTCAGGGGCTACAACATTGGGGTTCATATTGAGCCTTAGGTCGTGCAGAATTGGGTTTCGGGTTTCAGGATTTAGGGTTTAGGGTTTATAAGGCTCAGGGTTGAGGGTTCTATGTTTAGGGCTTCGGGATGTGTAGGTAGAGGGGTGGTCAGATTTGCCATTTTGCCCCCTTACGAGGCTGGACAGAGTCGGAAGGCAGCTGCTTCCGCTACGTGTCTGACCACGGGACCTTCGCTGAAAGCAACCTTCTTTGCAAGGAGCTGCATTCTTCAGCCACATTGGCCACAATTGGGAGTGTGGGGCAGAATCTAGCGGCTGCCAAGTTGGTCACGGGAAGTGGTGACGCTTGGATTGGCAAGAGGCTTTACGGAAATGAAGAGTATTGGATGGACGGAAGCTGTTCGACCTATTCTCCTGGCTTGGAAGTGCCCCTCACAGCGACAGATGCTTGCGGCCGTATCTTCGCCGAGGAGCACCAAGTCTTCCCAAAATGGGGACGCTGGAATTGCGACCTCACTCGAGCTGTGATGTGCGGTTTCTCAGTGTCGTCAAGCCAGAACGAGGAATTCATCCGGCCGTCCTCAAATTGCCCAGAAGGCCGTTTTGGGATATAGGGTGTAGGGTTTAGGGTTTAGGATTTGTGCACGGGTTGAGGTTTGAATGGGTTAGTCAAAAGTGTTCAGCAGTTCATGCTGGGGCACAAGGCCGTCCCGTTTTTAAGGAGTAGATGGGCTTCGAAGCTTGGGGCGAGGCTTGGTTTCCAGTATTTAGTCAGGAACTTACAACAGCTTAGAGGGAGTTTAGGGCTTGGGGTTTAGGGTTCAAGCTTTTGGGTTGCAAAAGGTGGTTGCATTCAAGTTTCGGGGTTGGTGTGCTCTCCGGGGCCGTCATTCCACGAGGCTGGACAGAGTCGGAAGGCAGCTGCTTCCGGTACGTGTCTGACCCTGTGACCACCGCAGAAGGCGATCTTCTGTGCAAGGAGCTGCATTCCTCGGCCACATTGGCCACAATTGGGAGTGCTGGGCAGAATCTAGCTGCTGCCAAGTTGATCGCAGGAACTGAGAACGCTTTCATTGGCAGGAGGCTTTACGAAGATGGGGAATATTGGATGGACGGAAGCTGTTCGACCTATTCTCCTCGCTATGAAGCGCCCCTCCAATTGAATGAAGCGACTTGTGGCCGTATCTTCCACGACGAGCACCAATTCTTCCCACAATGGGGCCGGTGGCCTTGTGATGGCACCCGACCCGTGATGTGCGGTTTCTCGATGTCGTCAAGCCAGAACGGGGAATGCAGCCGGCAGGCCCCAACTTCGTCGTCCTCTGAGTCCGTGTCTTGGTTCAGTTTCATCTGTGTTCTCTCCGTGTGGTGCAACATGCACCGTTAGGCGACTTGGCCTCAGGCGCTGGGAGGTGCTGTGTCCTTCAGGCCCAAGACCCTGGAGGTTGAATATCCCTAAACCCGAAACTCTAAACTCTAAGCCCTAAGCCCTAAACCTTAAACGCTAAACCCAAAACTAAAGCCTAAACCCTAAACCCTAAATAGCCTAACGTTTAAATCCTAACCCTAAGCCCTAAACCTGTCGGGGTCAATTGTGGCTTCTTGATTTTCCTGCTGTTTCAAGAACGGAGGCAGCGACTGCAAGGAACTTTGCAAAAAAGTGACATGAGTGCACACCCTTGTAATCGCTTCTCCCTCATTATAAACCGCCGGGTGGGTATTTTGTAGGGGATTCGCTTTGTGCATTGAAATGGCAGATGCAGCGCAGAGCGTCAATATCGCGTGGCTCACCAGCAGCGCTTGATGTACATACTCGTTGGACGTTCATGTTTCCGAAGCCTGCCAGCTTCCCAACATTGCACGTTCACGATGTCGCGGGAGAAGAATAAAAGCTTCAATGTTTTCATCATCTTCGGCTTCTAAGGATGAGACTTCCCGGGTCACCAACTTTGCAGAGCAGGCCGATCGAAGGAAGCAGTGTTGTCAAATCGTCGGGTGTCGCTCTGACGAAACCACTGCAGAGTTGTGCATAAGATTGAGCCATTTGTGCAGTGTTTCTCCCGAGTGTTTTTTGAAGCACGTGGGCCACAGCATTGCCATGAGTGATGCTTGTGCGATGCACACTCCGTTTGGCCAATTTTGCCAGAAGTTGGAAGGGACAAGCTCGGGTACGGTATTCAACAGATTGGGTTTCGGAACTTGAGTCCATGACCCTGTCAAAGAAACATTGAGTTACTTAGTCGGCAGTATGTCAGCGAGTGTGTGAGTCAGGATGCGTGTGTCAGGGATCGAGTAAGTGAGTGAGTGGCCGAATCATGTGGTGAGTCCGTGCCTGGGCCAGTGAATGAGTGAGTCGGTGTGTCTAAGAGCGAGTGAGCCAGGGAATCAGAGAACGAGTGGTAAGTCAGTGGCACCACGAACCAGGGGAGCGAGCGGATGAGTATCTGAGTCGGTGAGTAAGTGAGTGAGCGAGCGAGACAGTGAGTGGGGAATGAGTGAGTGAGTAAGTGAGTGAATGTGTGAGCGAGTCAGTGAGGAAGTCAGTGAGTAGGCGGGCAATCCACACGGACGATGCATTACTCTGTTCACCCAGGAGGGTGCCAGGACTATCGGCATTAAAAGGAGCCAAGCCCCAGAACACAAGGTCGATGACAAGCGTCAAGCCGAGATCGGAGGGCTGCGAGGGCAAAGCATCCGAGCCAAGTGAGTTGTTGATCCGACGAGGTTCGGCACTGCGCTTGATTGTCTGTCGAGGAAAAGTGTCTTGTCCGTTCTCGCTCTTCTGGTTTTGCGTTGCTACATGTTTCGTGTGCCTGTAGTGGCAGGTGCAAGAAGCACTGCGAGACGCTTATGGTGATGTGGTGCCACAGCACTTGGAGGTCTGAACTGGTATTGGGTCAGAGATAGGGAAACTAGCTGCTTGTCCGGATGGCAACACGAAGGTTGTTCGTTCATCTCTCGGATTCACAGCTTCGCTTGCAGGACTTAGCTTCTCAGATCGGCGTCCAGTCCTGAGACTTGATTTAGTCTGCGCTTAGAGAGCCCGCAAAAACCCACAAGTGGAGGTTGGACATCTGCAGCCGAGATGGTGCGACTCTCAGGAAGTCGGTTCTGCACTGCAGGCTGTTGTGGTGCCAGCTTAAGATCCGGCAATGTACGAGATGCCATTGCCGCTCCGGATCAAGCTCAGCAGGTCTCTGACAGCCATGTCCCTCCGCTCTAGAAAAGTCATCCAGCAGGACGTTCGCGATGCACGAGAACGCTTCGTGGCGGTGGCGGACAAGCGATTGTGCAGTCTGGACATGGAAGAAGACACGATCGTATTCCAAGTCCTCGGTCTGGAAGGAGACTTCACTGCTTTTCTTTCCGATCCATATCCAATGGAATCGACGGTCGTGTACGGGCCTGATGACTTCGAGCTGCATACGAGCGGAACTGTACAGGACACAATTTTGGCAGTCATGTCTGAGCTGAAGTCGCAAGCATCCAGGCGATTGCGTGAGGATTCCTCAGGAAGCGAAGAAGACATGGATTGGATTGTGACTGATCGGCCTCCAGAGCCCGCGTTGCAAAGAGACCTAGACTCGGTCCAAAAGCTCTTCGGCGATCGATCAGTTGAAATCACACAACTGTGCCCTCAAACCTATCGTGTGCGAGTTTACGTGCCAATAGAATGTGCGATCCTGGACACGCGAGTTTGTGCTGCCTGGGGCTTCAAGCCTGACATCCCTATGTGCGTGGAGCTGTGCTTGCCAGCAAGCGGGTATGCTTTTGGAGTTGTCAAGCCTTACATGCTCACGCAAATCCGGCAAGAAGGCTTTCCCGAATTCGCTTTGGAGAAACAGCTTTTGCAGATTTTGACAGATTTTTGCTTGGTCTGCAGCTGCACGGCGTTGGAGAGTTTCGACTCCGGTGGAGATGACATCCTTGAGGACGATTCTCCTCGCAAGGTGTACCGGCGCTTCAAGTTGAAGAAGCAGAGACTGACTCTTGAAGCGCTAGCAGACAAAGGGCTTGGTTTCCTAGGCTGTCTTGGAAGGTACTTGCAGCTGCGCATGCCGACGCTGCATGAGTACTGCGCGATATGCGACTCCCCTTTCACACTTCCGCCGATGATGATGCGTGCAGTGTGCCCGCGCGAACTGTGCACCTATCAATTTGGGGAGTTCGGCAGCAAGATCACGTCTGCAGAGGGGATGAACAATCATGCTGAAGTGGTCGACTTGCTGGTCTGCATGCTTCTAGCAGCGGTAAAGTCTTCAAGAAGGCATCTTATACTTGACCCATTTCCAAATGTGTCGGTGGGAGAGCAGCTACGTGAGGCTGAGGCGGCGCATTCAGACAGAAAGGAATTCGTCTCTGCGGGAAAGGGTCTACGTGTGGTTTTGCATCCCGACAACAAGGATTTCAGCAAGTTGGAGACCTATGTGCAGGAGCTGCAAACCATCCGCGCACGTGTGGGAAATCAACTCGGTGCTTCCTGGTCTGCAAAATCGTCATCAATGTCTGCAGAGGCTGCGGCCCTTCTGAAGTGGACAGTCGCATCGAACAGGTCCTTCTTGGCACCCCTGCAGGAGAGACTTTGGTCGGCCGTTGTGTCTGGGAGAGTCAAGTCCGTATCTTCGGCTCACCAGGTATCATCTTTGACATGAGTCTTCTTCGAACAATTCGGGAAAGATGCCCATGAACTTGAAGTTCAGACATGATACTGCACATGTCTGTCTACATGCTCCGTACTTTTCGAAGCTCTCACGGAGTCTACACTGCTGTGCGAGTCGGCAGGACAACGAGCGAATTGAAGCTTTCAGGACGGGTGCGTCCATGTGTAGGGGCCAGTGACAACCGTATTGTTGGTTTTGCTTCTTATCCACTCTGCAGATTGCGCAGGACGCCATTTCAGTACCTTCTTATCTCAGCGCCGCCAGACAAGGAAATTCTGGATGATGAATCATTCTCGCGACTCTTTGCTTTTGCTGTTCTGTTTAGTTCTTTTGGTGTGTGCGCAGGAAGCGCGATTCCAGGAATTGAAGAAGCAGTTTCACACATCCTTCGCTTTCCACGGTTGCGGTCCCAGTCAGAGGGGCACCGAAGGCTGCAACCCGCACTGTCGGGTGCTGTGGGGGGTTTTCTCGAGGCAGTTCCTCCGAGAACTGGCATTCAATCCTGCGGAACGGCCTGAAGATTCTGGCTTGCAGGGGCAGGCAGCTTCAGGTGCTTAAGTCCAGCTTCCGACTTTCTGGCATCGCAGTTGTCCAGATGGAAACAAGGTGTCTCCAGGTTTTGTGAAGTGTTCAGGTTGTGTTCAAGTAGCTGTGGGGATCAGCTAAGGAATGCATCGGACACAAAATTGATGACATGTGGGGCGGCTCACGGTCCCGGCATCTACCTCTCCACTGAGCCTCGGCAGGCATGGCGGCATGGCAGTGGGTCATCGCGTCGTTTCGACCGCAGGGATGCGCGGCTCGGGCATGTTTGCACGGATGCAACGTAGATTGGATAGCGTGCTCAGGAGCCCGTCCTTTTTTTGTGCGATTGGTGCTCAGGCAAGCTCGTGCTCGATGGGCTATACCCGGTACTCTCCAGCCGTGAGTGAGGAGGTGGTTGCTTTGAAGCGACAGAAAACCGGTCGCTTGTCGTGACAGGGCTGGAGAGCACTTCGGTGCGATGTGACAGTTGCCTGAACTGCCGTTGGTCTCAGGCAATCGTTTCGTTGACAATCAGCGTGGTCTTGTGATGATGGCCGTGTGCGAGGTGCCTGTCTTTGATTCGTTGTTGTTCTGCCCCACAGAGATGTATTCAGGTGGTTGAAGATCCGGGCAGATTGCGGAAGCCGAATTCACAGCGACTTTGCAGCAGGTTGTGTTTTTTAATGTAGCAAGCTGTTGTGCCATCCTCCTTCAAGACGTCCTTGCATTCTTGAGAAAGTGTCGGCGTAGTGTACCCTCCTTCGAGCAGTGGAAACGACTGATGCACGAGCTCTTCTCGCACTCTCCACTCAGCAAGGCGGAGCACTGAAGGCGTTCCGCCTGTCTGTGAGGATTTGGGTCGCGAGCGAGGAGGAGCTGGTCTGCACTCGCTTCTTCTTGGTTTTTTGCGAGGCTGGAGTGGGCATCTCAACAGCTCGTTCGGGCATCGGGGAGTCTTTGTGGAAGGCAGACCACTTCAACTTGAACGTCAGCACCCTTGAGCTGGACAAGGCCTTTGTAGCCTCGTTCACCAAGCCCCTCCGCTCCGTCTGAATTGTGTGAGGAGATCCGTGCGCTTGTGGAGAGAAGCCGGTAAGGGTCTTGGAGCCAGCGCCGTGCCCATAGATGAGCTGACCCGGTGCAAGCGGAAAGGCTGTGTGCTTTAAAGTCGCTTGCATTGGAGTCTCACGTTTCGAGAAGCGCTCTAGTCCTGTACAGATGGACCGGTACGTCAGTGCAGAAAAGATGGCCTGCACCAGCTCTACTTTGGCACCTCCTTCAATGGGGCACCCTTTCAAGCTCAGAGACGGATTGAATAGTCGGCATCCCAGTGGGTCCCACCCCGAGCAGGTGGGGAAGGATAGCAGAAGTACCGGTACCAGTGCTATAGTATTCGTACAGTACAAGATGGTCCTGAGGAAGGCTCCCACAAACCGCAAGCCAAGCCTGCCACAGCTCAGAGAACCCCGGAAAGCACGCCTCAGGGTCGAGAACATCTGGAGAATGCCTACTACAACCATGCAAACCGTGCCTGGAACTAGAACCGAAAAAAGATGCATTAGTTGCAGTTTCCATACGCCTGCCAGAGCCTAAACCCAGGTCTTCTGGACGTCCAGAGGCGAGTGCCGAGTTGAGGGTTGTGTTGTGACAGTTCCTAGGCTTGACATCCATAGGGTGCCTATGTGGGCAGCCCAAACCTTTTCTTTTCAGACGCAGGTGATTCGGTGTGACAGCAAGACATGTGGTTTTGCAGGCATCCCGAGCCAACCTCGATGTGCCGCTTTCGCAGAGTGCGTCGCCGTCTCCTGCGACGGCCTCCGTTTATTCTTTGTTCGCAGTTTGAAGAGAAGGGATGGAAGGGATGGAGGGGGATCTGGTCGATCTCGTGAGGCCATGCCTTCCCGATGTGCGGAGGCGGTCAGAGCTTTGTTCCTTGTCAGTCTGGCTTGACCTGGTGGAATCCGCGCGGGGCGTTCCAGTCTGAAGGGATTCCAGCTCAGGTCTTCGCCCGTCTGCAGGCACCGGATGTCTTTTGCGTCTTCGGAGACCGGACAGTCCTCGTCGGTTGTGACCGGAGGCCACGGCCTCGACTGCGGCGAGCGCCTTCGCCCGGGTCGCCAACACGAAGTCTTTTGGCGGCTGAAGCTGTGCCAGCAGTTCATGACCATGAACCTGCACGGAGCTGAGGTGTGGGCCAACGGCTTTACGACGAAGGGATGTGCCTCATACAAAGGCTGGCAGCCAGATCATCCATCACAGATAGTCACAGCTGCAAGAAAGTGTGCTGCACATTATTCAAGCTCCCTGTAGTCTCAAGCTCAGATGCTGGTGTCAATTGTTTCCTACCCTCCGGAGACATCCGGACGCAAGCTCGGTCAAACTATCCTGACGTGAATATCATGTCGATCGTTGTTGGTCGATAGAAACTCCTTGACATGCCTTCGACACTCCGCACCATGCCATCGGACACAGGCGGAAGGAGTTTGTGGAGAAGGCTCGGCCCGGGGCAAGACAACTGCAAATCAGTGGTGCCACAGAGTGTGCTGCCCATGTGTATCACAGTCCCGTAGAAAGAGTTGCTACTGCTTGAGGTGGTGGCCTTGGACAAAGAAGGCCTGCAGCGAAAGGCGGGCGAAAGGTGGTATTGATGAAAGCACTGCGTGGTGCGCTACCGTCGCCACTTTGACTTTGGAGGCTAAAGAGCTGCTTGCGCTGGGAAGCCGCCTGCATGAATCCAATGAATCCACAGGTCCGGCCGGGCCTTGAAGCATCGGGAAATATCGGGAACTGCGGGAACTGCGTCTGACGGTCTGCATGCCTTGAGGCAGCTTGGGGCGCCTGGGAGGATGGCGGCTATGCCAGGACTTTCGAGTCGCCATGAGAGTACCATTTCGGAATGCTTTTCGGCGGCCACCTGCAAATTTTAAAAACCCGGGGCGGCTACATGTGATGCCAGGTTTTTTGGTACTTCTTTTATTTTGTGCCGCGAAGGGCTTGGTCTGGGAGTGTGCGAACGTTTAGGGATGGATGTTTGCTGGCTCAGCAGCCCAAGCGGCCTAAACCCGAAGCAATGATCCGAACATGTGCGATTCGGCCATTGCCTAGTCAGAGCTCGTGTCCCAGGAGCAGCGCTTGCCCGGCCGCGCTTGCAGAACGCAGGCTGCCGCGAGTCTGCCAGACGCCAGGCAGTTGGAGACAGTGCGGCCACAGGGGTCTCCGCGCCGTCGACGTCCGAGCCAGACTCCTTCAAGCTCTCGGATCAGCAACGGAAGCTCTCAGACTCTGGAGGTGCAACTCTGCGGGGTTGCTGCGAAGTTGTGTGACGTCCAGAAGTGCAGTCCTAGTGCCCTAGAGGCGCTCCCTCAGACGCCCTCGCCGCCAGTCCGCGAAAGGCAGACGAAGGGGGGAGGGAAATCTAACCTGGGTTCTTGTTAAGGGATTTAATTTAAGTTACCATAATAAGGAAACCCTACTATTTGCTATAGATCCCTATTATGGTAACTTAACTTAAATCCCTTAACAAGAACCCAGTAGCCCGGTTTCAAAAGAGCCGAGAGCTGAACTGAAGTGACGACCCCAGAGGACCGAGGAGGCGGAAGCGCGGGCTTCGACTTCGACGGACCCGGCCGAGTCTCTCGGAGTCTCTCGAGCTCTTCGCCATGTTCGGGGATGATGCGCCGGTGTCTGGCAGCAGGAGACCTACAACGAGCTCGAAGTCTTGCGGCAAAAGCTCGGTGCCTCGGCAGCCTCGGGTCCTTGGATGAGCAGGGAGGATGGGGCTGGCCTCGCGGCCTCGCTTCGAACTTGGAAGCAGGCCTGCTCTCGCTGGGTGCGGACTTGCTTCGCCGCAAGCTCCAAGAGGCGAGGGAGGCCACAGGCGCGGGGCTACGGAGAAACGGGGCGCTGCGCTCCGAAGCGTCGCCTCTGCCTCAGGTCAGCTGCCTGTGGAACATGCTGTTCAGGCGACTCGCGGGATTTTCGACTGGTGTTTCAGATTTGAGACCAGGAATTGTCGCTGAAGCTGAAAGTTCGCATGTCTGGTCTGCAACGTTTTGTCTGTCATCTTCGAAGCTGTTCTGCGGTGCCCCTTGGGACCAGGCGGCTTCGGCTTCGCCGAGCAGGCGGGAAGTGAGTAGTTGCAAGGGGCGGCTTCGTGGAACACTTGTTTGCCTCAGGGTCAGTCACGAACGACGCCTCAGTGGAAAACCCCGAAGCCAGCGAGAGAATGAGAATGAGTCGTCTTGATCTCAGCCGGTGAGCCGCAGGCAAGCCGAAAACCCCCGAGTGCAGTGCCGAGGTTGCTACCATCTCCTGTTACATACTTGCCTCTGCAGGCAGCACGGGATTGGAGAGAGAGTCTCTTTTGGAGCGTTTTGGCGCCAGGCTTCGTGCTCGGACGGACAGCTGAGCCCGAGAGGCTTCCCAAAGCGCGAGTCGCTCTGAGCATCCTTGGCCTTGGCTTAAACCCAGGCCTTGAGCCCGAGCTCTCAGAGAATCCGATGTTCCTTGTCGGCAGCAAAGACCCCCTTTTGGAACCGCCCCGCGATTGCTTCGCAAGGATGGTCCATCGCTCGCGAAGCGCAGGGAGCCCACTGCTAACACCATCCCCCCAGGCCGTGATCGCATGTGATCGCCTTGTAGGCTGAAGCATTGTGGGCCTTACGGGCTCCTGCGGCTCTGCAAGCTGATGCACACATGAACACTCCGGCGAGCCACGAAGCTCCGCTGCTCCGCTCAAGCCAAGAGAGCCGTCGATGACGTCGGAGTCCGAGAGCCCAAGGGGCCCTCAAGGCCCTCTTTTTGGCGATCTCGGGCAGCTTCTGCCGGAGGGCCTCAGAGAGGCCCTGCGGCCCGTGGAGCGCGAGAACGCGCGGCTGCTGGCAGCGCTGGTGCGGAGCCGCCTCTGCGAAGAGCAGCTGCAAAGGCAGAACGCCGAGCTCGCTGGGCCGCGGGCACTGCGAGCTGAAGCGGAAGCCTCCCCCAGGGTGGCTGGACCTGAAGGAAGGCCATTGCAAAGCATACTGCAGCTGCAGCAGCTGCAGCTCAGAGGAAGGGACAAGGCACTCGCCGAGTTGCAACACTTGGAGATCAACTTGGCAGAAATCGTGGCCTTGACTTTGCTACTCAGGGTGCGCGACAGCACAACTGGTTACCGCCAGTCATCAGTCAACGCGTTGCGAGATGCTCTGGAGCGTTGCAGGTCAGAGCTGGCATCGGCTCAAGCGGCAGCGGCTGCAGCTGAAGAAGGCCATTGTGATGCGGATGCAATGGCAGAAGCTCCATGGACGCTTGTCCAAACTGCACGAGATGAGGCTCAGAGGCTCCGCAAGCAGCAGTCATCGGTCCAAGAGAATGGCTACGGCACGTTGCTGACTCTCAGTGAGCGATGTGTGGCGGAGGAGCAAAGATGTGTGCATGGAGCGCTGGGAGAGCTGGAGGCAGCCGAGCAGCTGGTCTTGTGCGAGTCTGACTTGGAGAAGAAGGCAGCCTTAGAGAATAATCTAGAATGCACAGAGTTTCATGAGCTGGGCTTGGTCCAGCAGCGGCTTGAAGAGAGCATCCGATTGACCGGAGACTTACAGGATGAGTCGCTGAAGTGGAAGGGCCAAGCCGAGCAATGCGAACGCATCCAACGCGATCTTGCAGAAAAAGCTTGGCATTACTCCAAGCAGCTTGAGCAGAATGCCCTTGAGCTGGAGATAGAGGTAGAGGCTGCCGCCGCGCAGCAAAGTCGCCCATCCGTCGGAGATGTATTTCATGTGCAGACTCTGGTGAAGCCTCTTGACAGAGCCGCTTGGAAGCGTTCTGAAGTCACCTGCATTCTGTAATCCCAGACCCATCCGGCCCGTCCGACGCCTTGACTGTGAGGCAAGAGGACATCGGCGGGAGGCAGAGCTGAGTCGGGTGCTGAGCGAAGCCTCGGAGCTTCGGCGGAGTTTGGCGGGTGTCCGCTCCGAGAAGTCCATGGCCTTGCGCTGTGAGAAGGAAGCTGGCAGGGACTGGAAGCGTCTGCGGAAACGCAGCTCTGGGTTTCGGGAGGCGCTGAAGCAGGAGCTCACCTGCCTGGCCGAGCTGCGAGAGGCGCGGAAGGGCATCGAAGCAGAAGGCCAGCAGATGCTCAGCGAGCATCGGGAGGTGTGGAAGGAGGAGACCTGGCAGAGAGAAGAGGACCGGAAAGATGGGACTTCCTCGCTTGCTGAGGCAGTTCATTCAGAGGTGGCAGCTGCCAAGGAAGAGGCCGAAGTTGCAAAGAAGCTTCGTGTGGAGCTGCGTGAGATGCGGGCCAGACAGCAGCACTCTCTTCGACACAGCTCGCCCTCTGCAAGCGATGGTTTGCTTGAGCTGGTTGAACTGGAGCACACCGTGCAACAGAGAGTGGCAAAGCGAGACCGTCAGCTGCAGCAGCTGAGGCTGTCTCTGAAAAAATCATTGGACTCAGAGGATGCGTAGCCCCGACTGGAGTATAATAGCCGGGGACGACACGACACGACCGGGGAGCCTCGCAGCCCAGTGACCTCGACAGAGCGCCGAGAGGCCAAAACCGCCCCGTGGCCTGGGTGCTCAGCCTCTGCCTGCTTCCCCTTCGCGGGATGCAGAGCAATGCAGAGCAATGCAGAGCACGAGGAGCCGATGAGCCGATGTGGCGGGACGAAGTGGACGAAGTGCCGTCTCCGCGGCCGAGGGACGACGTGCTTGGACACCGCTGGGTCGGAGTTGGCCGGTCGCCACGCTGTACGCGGCGGGAAAGGTAGGTCGGCTCTCACCCGAAACCCTTTACGTCATACTTCGCCAACGGTGTACATCAGGAGAGCTGGCCGGAGCAAAACCCTTTGAGCAGCTGAGATCTGTTCCTCGGTGCTTGCGAGTATGCACGCTCCTGATGTCAGGCGCCTCTGCTCGGAAGCCCTGCCCACGGTCAAGGTTGGGTACATGGGTTGTGTGAGTTGTCGAGATTTGCAAAGTAGTTTCAGGAAGTTACGAGAGTCGGGTACCTGCAAGTGCTCGGCACCTCTAAATGCTGAAGGACCCTGGAGGATGGTGAAAGCGAACATGGCGAATGTGGGTGCTACCTCTTCAACTCCGCCAAGCCCTGTGGCTCCATCGATGTTGTCGCCGCCAATGTCTGTCTGCATCACCAATACTATCCAGGCACCGTCATGCTACCAGATTCTACCGTGTTCGCAGAGTCTCAGAGCATTCGCGCGCAGTTGTAGTCTGCTTCATAGACTGTCGTGCAACTCCGTGGAGGTTGGCCGTGACACTCCCCCGATCACGCAGCGCCTGATAATGCAGCCCAAAGTGGTGCATTCGGTTCGGTTGCATCCCACTGCGTATGAACCAAGCCAACAGCCCAAAGTGGACAAAGTTGATTCCAATTTCCGGGCTTCTCTTTGACTGCGCTTGACCACATGTACAGGTATTCAATATATCACTTGTGGCCACCTCGCCAATCATGCCTGAATCAAACCTCGAATCGGCGTGGGACTTGCGCAGCCTGAACAAGGCTATCGGGCGACCAAGAAGGAAGCCCTTGGCTCTGTCTCTGGCAGAACAAGACGTTCTTGGCCGAGAGCTGTGCTGAGACAGATAGCCGCGAGCATGAATGCAGAGTTCACTGTTACTGAGTCCGTGGCGATTCGCTGTAACTTCTCCACGCGGCCGTTGGAATTGCAGAGAGATCACTGCAGCATAGACAACATCTGCTCTTGGTATGCTTTGGCTCATGCTGCCGCTTCTGTCAAGCTCTCTTTCAGTTCACTGCTCAGCATACGTCATGCCGACATTCTGAACATCACAATGGTCAGCAACATCTCGACCTTCTGGTTGTTTGCACGCCTTTCTGCGCTCCAGCTTGGGGTGCTTCCAAGCATGGTTGAGACGAGCGCTTCCCACTCAGGCTTGACTTGACTTGACTGTTTGTCATGATGATATCATTGACATCATGATTGTGCTCTATGATTCTGTCATCTGTATTCGCTGTTGAGATCTCTTGAGGCTGCAGCTGCCCAAGCTGAGAAGAAACAGAAGACGGAGCAAACGGTCGCAGTCACCAAATGCCTGCTGTTGCAGTATGCCGCTTGGAAGAGTTGAAAGGCGCACGCTTCGACTCCTCTGGCTCGGCGAAACCTGCCACAGTCTCTGCACCCTCAGCTCAGGAGTATGTGGATGGCATTCTTGAGAAGCGAGCTCCGCACCGAGTCGGACTGTGACTTCCTATGTGGCACCCTCCATCGCAGTCTGAAACAACTTCTGTTCTTTGATTCTCTGTGCTGCGCCCTCTTGCGTTCCTCGCCTTTCCGTTCTCCGCTTCTTTCCGGGAGGACATCTGGCGCACTGGCAGAGACTAGCGGATGCAGATCAGGTGGGTCAGTTCTCGGCTTTTACATGGTCTTGCTTGGCGGCGTTGCAGGTGTTGCTGGGAGGAGCTTTCGACCCTCCTTCAGGTGCAATGATCGTGCTGCGAGGGCTCCGTGATGGCAAGCCGGTTATCAGTTACGCTTCTGTCGGGTTCTGACATGTTCTGACTGGGCATGCATGGGCACACCGTGGCCCGTGCTTGATGCAAGGATCGATCGGCACGAGGTCGAGGCTTTGGTCAAGGATGATCCCTACTTCGCGAACGGATTGGTGCTTGGACCGCATTGAAAGCTTTCGTTTTGCAGAACGAGGAGGACCGCACATCAGCAAAGACTGTTCCCACTTTCTGCGAGATTCGTTCCGCCGCCCCAGGATGTCCCAGTAGCAAGTGAAGAGGGTAGAAGTAGCAGTAGCATCTGGACTCAGCTGGCTCGCGAACTCGGACTGAGACTCCCGCTCCTTTGGCCTTTTCCAGGTCCCTTCCTACGCCATTCGGGATTGGAACGTCGTGCTGGGATCTGCCGTGCGATGAGACGTCGCAAAGTGACTTCAGCTGGGCCAAAGAAGAAAAGATCTAAAAGCACTGTCGCACCACGGTTGCGTGCTTAAACTTGTTTGCTTTTCCTGGCATGTGCATCGCCTGCGGACTTGCACCCGGCGTGTGGCATGCCCATCGCTTCTCTACCAGCATCAGGAAGGCTCAAGCTTGGCGGTGCAAGGCCGAATCCTCCAGGTCGCGGTCTCAGTCCCAGGGTAATGTGACACCTTGGTGCCATGCGTGCGGTGCTTTGCATCGCCACGAGGCGATGACGGACCTCAAGATCGGTCACCCGGCTCCCAAGCTGTCCAGGCCCTCAAGAAAAGTGGCCGTAGCGACGCCAAGACAGGGAGTAGGCTGAGCTAGCAGGGCGCGCACCATGGAGCTGTATGAGCGAAACTCTTGGCGGCGGTCTCAGAGAGCACAGGCAGAGAACAGGACGACAGACGAGTTTGCCTTTGGGCCAGCGTCCGCAGCGAGGCTCACGCGGTCCACTTCCGACACATCGGTCACGATGCGCCTCGATGGCCCGCATCCTGCCTTCGACTCGGAAGCTAATAGAGCCCGTGGGGTCCATGTCTGGGCGATGCCACGATGCCGAGTTACGGATGGCACGAATGGCTTCGACACATTTCCAGCAGGCCGTCATCTGTTTGCTCTGCCAGGGGTGAGAAGGTAGCAAGCCCTCGGTGCTGTCACGATGCACACCTTTCACGATATCAGTTTTGAGGCTCAAGCTTTGAGAGGTCATCATGTGTCTCGGAGCATCTGACATGGCAATGGATGACTCGTTGCCTTTGCCTCGCCTGCTGAAAGATTCGCAGTCTTGCATGTCTTGCCTGGCCGACCGGAAGCAGGGCTTGCAGTGCAGACGAGCTCAGTTCAGGACAGGAGCCTTGGCTTTGAGTTTGAAGTGCGAGCATCTGCCAGAGAACCGCGTTGTGGTCGTGGACCTGATGGAATTGAAGGTCCCCGATCCTGACAGTCAGAGGCATCTCACCGAGTACAAACTCCAACTGCAAAGCGCATCCTAGAGGCAACGGAGAGCGCCGACAACAATCTGCGACACTGGTAACTTCAGCTCGGACAGAGATCCGCAGCTCAAGAATTCGGACATCGTGTCTTCCACTTTCGATCTTTGCAGGAGAAGTAGCTGAGCACTTCCAACCGAGAAGTGTCCAGGCACAGACCCACAACAGGGCTTTTCCCTCCAGCAACCGGGCTGCAAACAGCAGTTTTGCAAACTCCGGCTGAGAGTCATGCGAAGCATGTACTTCGGCACAGCTGTGTCCAGCAAGTCGCAGAAATGGACAGCGAGGTTCAGGTCCGTTTTCAAGCAGATAAGCAGACTTCGTAGCAAATAAGCAGCCTTCTCCTCCCGTCCGTACCTCGGCTAGCTTACTAGTGAATTCGCGGTCACTTCTCACTTCGCTTCACTACTGTGTCCGGTTTGATCCTGTTGTGGCAGGGCAGGGCTACCGAAGAGACTCCAGACCAGCGCAGCAACCTTGGTGTATGATGTGGCATACCTGTGTGGGCTGGTAGATCTCGCTAGGTACTGGTATGTGCAACTGAGGCTGGTTCAAGACCACTGCCACCTCCTTCGCAAAGTACGGCATCTACCCGGGCCAGGGCTTAAAGGTGCCAGCTGAGTCATGTCGGCTGCTACTCGCAGCAGGTGACGTGAAGCTTGCAGATCGGCACTCTTGCTTCCGGCCCTGTGCCAGGGGATGTACATGCGTGATCCTCATACAGGCGTGTGGTTCAAGGTGCGATGCAACGGCCTGTCCATTCAGCTGCCGAGCTCTCGGTGGATGCGAGGACACTCCCGAACGGCTGTGGCACAAAGAGCTTGAAAAGCCGCAGCCCAGCTCCGCTGCTAGACAGCAACTTGAGAGATCTTGAGGTGGTAAGGGTGGTAAGTGCAGGGTGTGCCGTTATGGATTTTTTTACGTCTCATTTCAGAGAATCCCAAAGTCAGTGATGGAGTCAGTGAATCCGACGAGCCTTGCGGTGGTGCGGTTCGACTGCTGCCACGGCCTTCGTCTCTAGGATTGCCATCGTGGTCAGGCGTTGCTTCCACGGTAGGGCTCGGGGGAGGACACACCTCTCATATCCCTTCATGGTTCCTGCTCGCGCTTGGCTGGGGTGTTGGATCCATGGTCTCACAAACTCCTTTGAGCTTGAATTGGCCAGTGCCTGCCATGGTTCGTGTTCGGGATTGCGAAGCCTGGGGTGATGCTGTAGTCGTCTTCGGTTGGGGTGGGCTGCCTGCTGCTGCAGTTTTTCTTGTGATCCTGCATGTGTGGTTCCGGGTTCATACTTTCGAGCGGGCAGCGTGCGGGTCTTGATGCCCAGCTCGGCACGATCTCGGCCCGAGGTGTCAAAATCCAACAAAGATTTTGTGCCCCTCTACGCTCTCCATGTGCACCTGCACTGCAAGCCATGACGATAGAGGCCCGGTGCCCGTTTTCTTGGAAGAAACACACTGAAGTCATCTTGTGCCCAGGCCGTACCTTCTCTGATGAGGTGTTTCACTTAAGGGGGAGGCTCCTTCAAGCGGATCCATCCCCCTTGTAACAACAGACACTCTTTCCGAGAGAAGAGACCAGAGGTGTTTCAGCTGTTTTGATGAGGTTTTGTCCGAGTGAAGCTCATGTGAGCTCGTTTGAATGTCTGCGTGTGTGCGTGTGTGTTCCCATGATTGAAAAACAGCTGTTTGACTCGCCAAGCGGCAGAGCCGCAGTGGCCTCGCAGCTCGCAACCTGCCCCATTTGGGCATTTTGATGGCAGTCGCACAAATGCGGAAAGTTCCCAGAACTGGCCAGTCTTAACAGAGCCGAGCTGACACCATGGTAGAAGCCAGCGGCAGTCCGAGGCTCAAGCACGTGCTCCAGTTCTTTAGATTTGAAGCCAACGCAACGCAGCAGTTTCCCCCAAAGGGGGAAGCTGTAGCCAGACAGGTTCTCGAATGCAGCGCTTGCTGCGCCTAGAACCGAAAATCAAGGCCGCCACGGAACCAGCGAAAGCCTGAAGTCTCGAAGTGAACACCTCGGGCAGCATGCGGCACTGAAGTCGCCGCCGCAGCCATTTTACACGACCTGGTCGAAGCTCAATCCGATAAAGTACTACCGCAAATCACGCCTTCTGGACCATTATCCACGAGGCTTGGCTGAGTTGTTTTGACACTTCCAAGTGCTCGGATTGCCTTGCCGCCTTGCCCATGAGAGGCTGCAAGCATGCCATGCCGATTGGTGTTACTGGCTCTGTGTTCAATGTTGGTGGTGGCCTCATGAAGTCAAACCTGCAGTGCCTGGGCCTCTGTTTCGCCGAGGTCGAAGGTCTTCAAGGTGAAGGCAGGATGCTCAGATACTCGCCATGGCCGCAGCTTGTGATGGTTCTGCCTTCAACCAGGATACACTGATGCATCGGAGATTCTTCTGGTCGCGCCGCCAGCTTGTAGCTGGAGGCTCGCATTGCTCTCGAAGTGTATCTGAGGAGATGGAGCGTGCTCAGACCTTCGGCTCGGAATACTTGAAGCAGAAGCTCGAGACCTCAGAGTCTCAGAGGCTTTTTTTGAGTCTGGCCATGGCCCTGCTCGGCTGATTCCAGGCAGAGCGAGGCCTTTGTTGCAACGAAGGCTGCAAGCCTCTTGCAGGCACCCGGAGCCCGGAACCCCCGCCTGCTGTGGTGTTCTGCTAGCTTCGTTCTCTTCCTGCACACACAGCAGAATTACAGGTCAACAAAGGCCCTTCAGCAAGCCACGGGCAAGCCGGTGAGGCTGAGAAAGTTCTGGCGTCCAAGACTGATAGTGGCGCCACGGGGTAGGCCCTCGCATTGCAACAGGCTCGGCACAACCGCTTCAACCCTTTCAAGCCAGCGGTGGACTTAATACTTGCGACAGGCAGGGTCGTTCTTGTGGGCGTGAAAGACCAAGGATCCAGCCCTTATGCGATCGACAAATCCAGAGCTGATCGAAGATGAGGACGACTGAAGATAGGGCTGGCAGGACAGCATGCGTTTTGCACTGTGGCGACGAATTTTCGGAGCGAGGTAGATCTTATGTAGGATGTCTTGGGACAGCCTTCTAGAAGAGCTGCGCAGAGCCGCAGTGCAAGCTCGCAGTGTGATGTGCAGCTCAGCGGTTCGACTTCGAAGCCAACTTCAGTGGACGGAGCGGAAAAGCAACACTGCAGTGGTCCTGCACCAGTATAGCGTGTTACCAGGGCAGAAGTTCAAGGAGGTCCACTCTTCGTCGAAATATGACATCCAGCAGAAGTTAAACATCTTTTTGGTGCTGCATCCACACGGTTCACTGTTTTCCGCGCCTGTTAGTGTCAGCACAAAGGGTCCCTTCCACCATCTCCCACCTCAGCTACCTACGGGCGACTAGTCCCTCCTACAGAGTTCTAGTGCTGGGGCGCTCGCACTCGCGAGATTCAAGGGCAGTACGTCCGGTGCTCCTAGCAACCTGGTCCAAGCGCCGAGCGCTGATTTGGCGACCGCTCGCTGTAGAGCAAGCGACAGCACGCCCGCGCAAGGGGGCTGGCGTGCGCTGCACGCTTAGACGGAGAAGGGTGCGCAGGAATTGTTGCTACTCGTTGCTCAAACGGCCACCTCCACGGCCAGCACAACGAGCCGCTGTGACCTTCTGCGAGGAAGCTGCGGATAGCCTGCATCTTTGCATCTGCAGACTGCGGCCGGCACGATCGAGTGGGGACGCGTCGCAGGTTGCCGCGTAAACGGCGAGGTCGAAGGGGCGGCCGTCGTGTTGACTTGTGGCTGGCGCGGCACGACACGACCTTCCGGATCGCCTCGAGAACGAGGTAGTGGTCTCCGTATGACCTCCGCTACACAGGCGTTTTGGCCTTCTGCGCCACAAAGCAGGTTTGTGAGAGCAACGGCAGCGGAAGGCCCCGCCTCGTTGCCACGCGCATGAGGTCGGGCGTGGGACGCAACATCCGAAAGAATCGCCGCAAGCTGTGCGCAGGCATCAGAGAATCCTGCACGCCCGGAAGCAGCGCGTTCAGGGCTCAGGCTGTCAACGCAGGCTACACAACATCACGTCGTGTCATCGATTGTGGATCAGCCAAGCGATCCAAGTTGCAGGCCTCGGTGCCTCACATATGTACAGCGTGTTACAACGCCGAGAAGAGAAAAATACGTCGAATACGTGCACCATAGCATGAAAGTTCAGAACTCATTGACACGTTCGTTCCAATATGTACATGCCATGGATCATCCAAAAAAGTGAGCATGCCTACCTACGATTTGGCAAGCCAATCATCGGCAGCACACATCCATCTTGGCCAAATCCATCGAACACTGCGATGCCTTGTTGCGAAACGTGCTGTATGCATCGAAACAATCCCTTCCCCTGATTATTAAACCCCCCTCCCCCCCTCCCTAATATTAAAACTCGGATTTCGGGGTTTGGTTTTAATATTAGGGGGGTTTCGGGGTCACACACCACGACCGTTTCCCACGCAGCTCCAAGCCCTGAACCCCCAATTACTTTAGCCAAAACCTCTTCATTAGGCCTGCAGCCCTACTAGACAGCCAGCCCCGAATAACAACC